TTGAGTATCGAAAATGTTACAATTAAATAGTAATTAAGTCCTAAGCGTATGTAAAATAGGATTGAAACTATTCTTCAGCGCAAAGCACACAGAAATCTGGTATTCACCAAGAGGTCAAAAACTTAAATGTAAATATCACAATCATATTTCATTATATAATATTTCTATTCTACGAAAGAGACACTGAACATCTTTTACATGTTTAAGAAACCTTAAATTTACAAATTATACCTATCTAAGATATTCATTAACTTCACAATAGTTACAAACGCAAAACACGGTACTAAAACGCACGAAAAACGATTCACGAACAAAAGCAAACGTTAAACGCTTGTAAACGATGCTCGCTTGAGAAAGCGTTTCATCAAACGCACGTTGTACGATATAAGCACGCACAATATACGAAAAATGAACGTACGAAAAACGCTATTTTAGACAACCGAAACGTTCACCTTACTGTGTAATAATGGAAATGAAACAATTTTACTGTTGATAAACTTTATTAATTTTTTTCATAAGATATAGCTTTATACCCTTTAGATATCCTACGAGTGTTGTTATAAAAACAACATATAGCCGTGCGGTAAGCATTTAAATATTCACTACCTAATAGTATATAGACCTAATACGGCGACAGACAGGTTATGAAAATATAACAACAACACACAAAAACACCATAGAAGACTTTATTTGGTAGAAAAATAAGACAAGATGGCCATTATGGCCCTGATTTGCTCACCAGAAACAACTGCTTTTCAGTGTTGGAAATTATCCATTGTCAGTATTTTCTTATATTAAAATTGAGCATAGAATATGTTTAAACAATAACTTGAAGAAATGCCATGACCTGGGGCATTTAAGCTTTAGCTTAAACGGGGCATATCAATTTAATATGACCAAACTTGAATAAAATACTACGTAAGAATGCTAGAAAGTTTGGTGATCATCTATCAATTATTTTAGTAGGAAATGCTATTAAAGTATTTTCTATTTTTAGATTTAGCTGCACCCAAAAGGGCCAATCAAATTATTATAAGCAATATTGATTAAAAATCACCCAAGAATGCCACAGTCACAGTTTGGTGATCACCAATCCTTTAGTTCTGTAGAAGAAGATGTTTAAAAGTTTTTTCTATTTTTAGCCATAGCGACCCCTAAACGAGACTAATTTAATTAATATGAATAAACTGGATGAAATACCACCCAAGAATGCTACAGACAAAGTTTGGTGATCATCCATCAATAAGTTCAGTAGAAGAAGATGTTTAAAGATTTATTTTCTAGTTTTAGCTCTGTTGACCCCCAAAAGCTGCTTATCAAATTAATATTAGCAAACTTGATAAAAACTACCACAGAATGCTACTGAAAAAGTTTGGTGATCATCCATCAATTAGTTCTGTTACAGGTTTTTCTATTTAAAGCTATGTTGACCCCTAAAAGGGGCCAATTGAAATAAAATGAGCGAATTCAAGTGTGACTGTCACAAGGATGCTACAGACAAATTTTGAAGTAAATCTGCCCAGCATTTGAAGTGAACAAGACGATTGTTGACGCATGACGACGGACGCCGGAGCACCCCCTTTGATACTAATAGCTTAACCTGATCCTTCGGTTCTGGTGAGCTAAAAAGACAAAATATGTAATAAAATATTACATTTTTCAGCAATTTAGAGAGTAGATACATTTTGATTTGAAAAAAAAGATAAAATAATCTTGTTCAGAAATATCACTCTAAAATACACACATAATATTAATCAGCAACATGAACGTAAGTTCAATGTCGGAATATGTTAAATTTACAAATTAAATAGGTATGTGTAGCTTAAAATATTATTTTCACATACTGGTAGTATTTTTTCGATAATGCAAATATACTAAGTGCATACGGCATAAATATAGACTCCTGTTTTATATTTTATATATAACTTATTTAAAAACGGAGATGAATGTTAGGTAACACTTTACATAAAAAGCACTGCACTATTAGTCAATAAGTATATGTCGTGTTTTGTTGCTTTATCGAAACAAAATGTAAATGTGTGAAAAAAAAGACAAACACATTTGTATGGCAATGTAAAAACAGGTTGCATCTCTGAATTGGTCTATTACTAGCCTATATAAAGATATTTATTTTCATTGGCTACCTGTAAATTACTTCTCAACGAGACCTGCTTTTTTACTATATTTATACGTTAATGAAAATGTGACAGATGATCAATGCAACAAACATTGTTGTTCTAGCTTAAAAACAAAATCCCAAGATAGCCAAGATAGCCGCCGTTCATGCAGGTACCTGACGTCTACCCTACATACATATATACATAAAACGCTACGATCCTTTTTAAAAAAAAGTCAAATGACCGCTTCCGAAATTCCGTAACATAGCATTTTCAGAACTTTTGGTTACTAAATGCTTTTATAAGATATCAATCTTGATAAGGGGACAAATCGCAATAAAAATCTATTTTAAGTAATAGCAAAACAACGTTAAAACCCAAGTTATCTGTCAGTAAATGACAAGGTGAAATATAAGCGTGACAAAAATCGAATATTATAAAAATTCTACAGGCAATTATTATCCCGATATTAACACGTAAAATAAAATGTTTAGATATCTTATATCTTAAACGTATTTTGTAGATAAATACAGCAGATTTATATCAATGACTTTTTGATACATGTATTTGGACAAACACAAGTGTAACTGGAGAGGTCTATTCAAACAAGTACAAATGTTGCTGCAATGCAGCAATTGAGAAGCTCCGTGCAAAAAAATGCGCTCATTACAGATACCATACAAAATTATTTCTACTCACAAGTCAGTTTCTATTTAGATTAAGGACTAGTCATTTTCCCGATGTTTTTGTAAATCATTTAAATTTGCATCATTTTACTTATCGTATACACTGTCTATGATAGAGGGGCCAGATATTAAACTTAAGAAAAAGCTTTCACTGATCCCTACCTGGTAAAGAAAGTTATTCCAATACAAACAGGACTTGTAATTGTAAAGTGACATGACAGTAGTGCAACATTGTTCTGTGTGTGGCACTACTTTAGTCAGTAATGTTAGATGACAAAAATATCAAAACATGTACATTTTCTTTTTCACCTATAATGCCACTCAATTTCTACAAATATCAACAACTAATCACGGTAGGTAATATCAAAATCCACATGTAAATAAGCCAAATCGACTTTATTTTCAAAGTGTCCGTTACATGTTTCACGCCAAATGGTATATCATGTTAAACAAGAAAGCAATAATGCAAAACATCAAATGGCGTCCAAACAAGTCAAACAGCAAGTGACGATGAACTAGCTGACATCTAGACCAGCTATTCTTTTAAACTTTTCAATGGTTTATTAGATTTTACCAGAATTGTACATGTATATCATAGATGAATGGGCGGACGAAAGACATTGTTCATCATGAACTTTGGTCGACTTGCTAAAAATAAAAATATTAAATGTATTTTCATTGGAACATACAAAACAGTAGTCAAATTGTAACAAATATGCAAACAGCATATCAAAATAAAAACAAAATAGAATAATATTGTAATATAACAGGCATTTTTTCAAATTAAGAAAAATGGTTTCTTTTGATGTCTTGGACTTAAGATACAGTAGCTATAGTTTGAGTCTCAGATAAATACTGAAAGAAGAACACACACTGGAATGAAACATTTGGGATGCATTTTTAAAATAACAAATTCAAGATTAGATTGTTTTACGTGTTAACAAAAATAATGGTACATTTAAAATCATGTAAATATTTACATTGCATGTTGATATATTGAAACATTATTTATCACTGTACTTTAGACAGGTATCATAGGGTATGAGGAAATTCAATAACATCATGTTCATGCGAGTCAAAGATATAAAAGCTACTCGACATAGGTTATAAAGGTTATAAATAAAGAGCTTTTGTTAATTGATTTATTGGGAGATAAATCTATATTTTGTTGAATTGCTTCAAAAGCCTCGTCTGACCCAACAGTGTGTTTACATTCCTATCAATAATTCCACAACACCTTGACGAAAGTTTCTGTTGTGAAAATACAGTCGCAGTATTCGGCAAATTAACATTCCACTCAAACCGATTGCCTCCAAACAAAATGGAATCAACTTTAATTGCAAAAATTCGGGAAACCAGGGTCGATTTAAATAATCAGGGGAGCTATTTTTTACTTAAATATTTTTCGATAAGTTATAAAGGGTGCAATTAAAAGTTGAATATGTGTGCATTTCATTCTGCAAAATTCTCCAGTTCGTTCAATTACCAAAGCGGTTAATTAAACTACTTCTATAAATAGATTTTCGGATTTTCTCAATGTTAAGGTCATACCTTTTTAAAGCTTTATTCCCGTTCTTATTCATTAATATGACATGCTACGAATAACCAAAGGGGAGAGCAATATATGACTTAACATAATAGAAATCGAAAGGATATCGTGCTTCCGAATTTATTTTTAGCTGTAAATCAAGGGATTAATTGATATAATCCGGGCCCATGGACAAAAAAAATATTCAACACAAATAGCTCCGCGCCTATGGGTGCGGAGTATTAAAAAGAAATAACCTACTAGTTTTTTTTCTTTAATTTTCAATTTATTGATTTGTTTAAACCGTCTATTTCTTTGCTTTAAGAAGAAAAATGTCGAGCGATGTCCCCGCATTGCTGTGGCTCTTGTTATGATTTTCTTATTAAATGCTGCTTGAACTAAAATGAGGAATCATTTAGACTGACCATTCATATCAATAATAATATTTTATTTGGTACACTTTATTATCAGCTATATGAATATATGTAATATCGGATTATGTATCACACACTTGCCTGCAATTTCCATGTATAATTCTTTTATGGTTTGTCGTTATGTTTGATACTAAAATACTATCAACGTAATTATTCATTATATTATAGACTTTCCATTATATACCATTGTACTTTTACTTAAACGTTTTTGTAATTATTATAATATATTTTATAGGCACCGTACAACAAATATACATCAAAGACAACAAGGTACCTGTGAAGGGGGCTGATATACAAATTATATGTGAGATATCACAATTTACTAGTGGTGATCTTGTGAGGGTCTATAAGACAGCCTCCATTCCTCCAGCAGATATTACTACTGCTCCATCATTAGTAGCGTGTAACCCATCAATATGTATAGGAACTGCTCCAAGACATACATTCAGCACTAGCAGCAGTGGTATTACTATTACAGTCACTAATCTCAATAGATCAGAAGACCAGAAATATTGGACATGTGCCGTGAACAACCAGAGAAAATTCATGCAGCTTACTGTATACAGTATGTATCCTTTCAAACTATCGACCAAATAAAGATTAATCGAATTAAACTAATAATAAATAAATAAATAATATGCAATCTTTGACAAATATTCAATGAATTTCTTTAACAAATCATTTATAGTGACTGTTCGGGTATAACCATAAAATTATGTCCAATAAGTGTCATGTAATATTAAAAAAGACAAGCTGCAAATAATTTCTTCCTTCCTAACACCGTTGCGAAAATATTTTAAGTACATGTATTGGGCTTTACTGGAAATATCCAAAAACAAAACTGTCCGTTATGTTTATGATAATTTAAAAGCTATTTTTGTCTAAAAAAGGCCTTGTCATTTTCAAGATTTTGTAGTGAAATCTTTTGTCACTCAAATTTTAGATTAATGTGTAACAAGTGTAAAAATGCACGTTTTATCACATTATAGAAATATACAAGTTACATTCTTTCAAAGTCATGTCAGGTCACATGTGATATATACTATACTAACAGAAAACTTATGATGTCATACGTGTATTTTCTTGTAAAATGAAGAAATCTGTATATTGGTAAAGCAATGCAACCTGTATGCCGTCGTAAAAATAGCTATATATTCGATATTATACAATTATTGACTAGTGAGCCATTGAATATGATGTGATATTCACCGGCAGATGACATATTGACCGAGGCGATAGCCGAGGTCAATATGACTTTCTGCCGGTGAATATCACATCATATTCAATGGTTCACTAGTCAATAATTGTTTTATTATATGAATAATTAGAAATTAGAAAAAAATCACAAAGTACAACCTTAATTATAATTATACATGTACAAATTTTGCCTCGTTGAAGCGCGGGAAAAAAGACGCACGTGTTAGGCGTGCAACGACTACGCGAACGCTGCGCATACAAAAATAATTCAAGTTTATACTCATCATTGCGATGTAACCTTTAAGTATAATAGTAAAGTATTGATATTTTAATCGAGAATTATGCCATAAAGAACAAAAAGCAACAATTATTTTTTAATCAACACGCGTAATTAACAGTCTACGGTGTATGATCATTGAATATGAGTCTCAATCTATTTTTAGACTGGGAAAATCCAATTCAGCTAGTGAATATGATACTTCACCCAGTAAATATGATTTTATAAAAAGTTCTGTTGACTACTGTTTGGACCAATGAGATTGCAGCTATATTTAAATCATATAATAATAAATATTATATATTAGCAACGCTTTTAATTCAAGTGATCATTCTTAGATAATATCGAATTTATAACATGAACCGACTGCTTACTTGAAAGCACTTTATTCAAATGGACTGAATACTAAAGTGATATTTAATCCAATTTTATGTCACAAGTATTTGTTATAAAATTAAAATAGAAACAATTAGGTTTTACACATAACACGTGCTTCCCGTTTGGCAGTCTATGCTTTAATACTGCATTTGATTGCTACGTCGTCGCACATGTACATGTGAGAAAGCTATCCAGCTAGCTAACGGAACGTCGGTGGTTCTACTCAGGTGCCTGTCTGTGCTGAAAAAAATGAAAAGAGGGACACCACTTATTGTTTTTAGCTAATTAAATAATTTTCCCGCTTTTATTTACACATTTTATAGAAACATGTTTTTCTTAGCATGGACATAGGTTTACATTCTGGGCAATCTTAATAAGACATTTTAGTAAGAAATGCGCCTTATAATATGTTGAAAGGGCCATTTATTAAGCGTACTTAAATGTGACATGTAAGAAACTTGACTTGGTGCAGATGCGACTGAAGAGCCGGAAAAACTGTGCTAGTGCGACGTAAAATCCAACCAATGATAATGCAACTTATAAAACTTTATTATGAATCAGGCTGACAATGTTTCCTGTTACGAATTTTATATATTTTATTTTTTGATATATGTAAGCGCGATATGTTTTTTTTATGTATTTTTACAATAAGTACGTTTAATTTTATCTAAACGTAAACTTCAAGCAGTGATTTCTCCTTCGTTCTTCGGCATATATCTCTAACTTAACAGTCCAATATATCTCTCTAACTTAACAGTCCAATATATCAGAACTTCTGACATACTTTTTTAAAATCTATTGTTTTTTTTTATATATTTTTTTTTATTTTCCAGTTAATACAAAATTCATTATGATGAAACAAATGAATAATGATTGACAAGAACGGTTTTTAAAAATATGAGAGCATCTTTTACTGAAACACTCTCATGACCGTAATACTAAAATGCAAACAAACCAAAATTATAACTACGTGTATTTTTCTTATTTGTGTCATACAGACATACACATTGATTTTATATATATATTTTTTTTAATGGGAGATGTGTAGCTGTTATTCTCTAAAACCATGTCTAGCATGTTATTTTTCTAAGTTTTAGCTTGTACTACTTTAATCTTGGCATCAAAATGATAAAACTTAAGAATATGGAGCTTAACAATCAAAACAGGTGTAAACAAGTACTTTTTCAGACTATCAATAAAATACACAAATTGTAAAAATGTAAATAATGCAATTACACATTATAAAAAGGTTACTACACATCAGTGACCTTAGTTTTTCCTGCAAAGAATACATTATCATAGGCAAAATATTTTGACGCACCAAAGCTAGATTATGAGATATTTTTGTTCTGGTAAAGAGTCTTGTTCTTAAGATATCGCCAATACACAAAATGCACATGTATGTTACATAGACAGTTTAGACATTTGCTGAAGGAAATAATGGCATTCTATTAACATGACTGGACAGTAGGATCAGGTGTAAGGATTGCTCCTCTGTCCATCCCCGCCCAAAAAAATATAAAATATCCAGCATTTATATTGATTGACAAATAAAACAGATGGCGAGTACAGACCTGCTTTTTTACAGCCTGGACTGGCATACCTTTATAGAAAATATCAAGAATATGTGTATTTAAAAATAACATCGGTCTGACCGCTGTTTATCGGCTATTAACACCGGTTTTGAGTTTTGATGCGTATGAATTGACTACGAAGGCCGTAGGCCTGAGCATCAAAACGACAGAGCCGGTGTTAAATATCCGATAAACACAGCTCAGATCGATATTATTTCGATTCTAACCAGATAAAATAAGGAAGATCACTAATGTTATTTTGTCAAGCGGAGATTCTTCCGGTGCCGAATTTCGAATATTATCTCGATTCTAACGAGATAAAATAAGGAAGATCACTTATGTATTTTTTTCAAAAGAATACTACTGCCTGTGCCGAATTTCGTATCTAGCGCTGTACTTATTCGCACCCTACTGTTGCTTTGATATAGAAATTATTAAACAAAAGAAATAATAAGAAAAAAGTTATTTTATCAAGTTTTCAACAATAAAAACATACGTCTCAGACTAGATTATATTATGTTAACATCAGGGTTTGATTAATCATTTTTGTAAACCACATAACCGAAAGAGAAAACATAACAGCCGCATTACAAGTAGTCCCTTTCCTAACCAGTGTTTAATGGCAGTTTAACACCGGCATTTTTCTTCTTTGTGTAGTGACAAAACCACGAGGAGTGTTGGAATTTTATGTATAGTCTGTGTACAACCTGTGACTCTCGTAATCTAAGCACATAATTAAATACGCTATTGTTAGATATATAAATCATCAAGCTCAATTAATATTAATACTTTCTTTAAAGGTAAACTATGCTCAAATTTGATATCAGGAATTATTGGTAATTGCAACACAGTCTCTTTGTAAATATAAAATAAACATGTTTTGACTTCACACAAAGTAGATATTTCATGTTTAAAACTCTGCACGCTATAGGTCGTCACAATGTGAATATATAGTGTCGTTAAAAAAAAACTGGCAGTTTTTTTTAAGAAAAGACAAACTTTACTTGTCCTGTAAAAGGGAACGTGACTTCCACTTCATTGTTAATTCATTTTTTATTCAAATTAGACATACTCAGTAAGGATTTTATAGGTTTTAACAAATTTCTTTGTTTAAAATATTTTACTCAAAGATGTATATTTTAAACTGTTACCTAAGTAAAGGAATACTTCAAGGACGATTTAAAAATACTGGAGGATGAAGCAGAATCTATAGAAATCAAAAGAGCTTATAGTTCTGGGATTCGGAAAGGGAGTAAACCCAAAAATATTGTGGTTACCTTCAAAGACTTTAAAACCAAACAGTTTGTAAAATCGTTTAAGGAAAATGCTGACTCAAAAGCCACCGGATTATACATGCATGATCAATACCCTTCAGATGTTGTTGCACAGAGAAAGAGACTCATCCAAATCATGAAAAAGGCAAGAGATGGTAAAAAGGAAGCCTATTATATTAAGTTTAATAAACTAAAAATTGATGGAAAATGTATACGGATGGAAAATGTAGTGGTGGTATAGTGTTGTACTGTCGAGAATCAATTGCAAACGGCATAACAGTAGTTCGTAAAATCTTTGACACAATCATTTGGATAGTAGAGTTGGTAAAAAAGCAGACTATATTTTAAACAAACTCAGTCATGGATAGACATGATTATGTTCTGGACATACCAATTGAACGGCCGACAATCGACAAACATCATAACTCTAACGGTATCCAGCTTCTAGACATGTGCAAATCCACTGATTTACAAATTTGTAACGGGCGTTTTAAAGACACAGAATCGAATATATTCTGCGGGAGCTCTGTTATAGACTGTTTATATTCAAGCAAGAGGATTACAGATTAATCCAGACATTTCACATGTTCTCAGATCATGCAATCATTTGCTTCACTATTGCTATAAACAGTTTTAATACATCGTGTGTTGAATAAAGTACATATGGGACCCAGATAAGCGTGAAGCCTATAGACCAGGTTTAAAATTGCCCCAGTTTAATAATGTTTTGGGCACATTAGAAACTGTAAACCATTCTATAATAGATAATGATTTGGGCGAATTTGTTAATCTAATAAACTGTGTTGCGAAGCCAATATTCTCAAAGGAAATAAAAAAACTGTCCTTCAAAACCGAAGCAATTTCC